GCATATGCTTTAAGATAACATACAGAACATTTACATATGGAGCCACAACATGCAGCAAATGTATTTCTAAAAGGTTAAAGACTTAAGCAGTCCTACTTACAGTGTATTTCATTAACCTCTCATTTACTTTGACCACATTCTTGGCCATATGTTTCATAGTCGTCACAAGACTCTCTTCTGTGTAGCCAGTGTAGTACTCCTGCTTTGTACCCTGCAGCGTAATGGTAAGAAATGGGAGATTTACGAGGTGGAGACTGCTGCTCAAGGCACAATCACTTCAGGCAGCAAATGCCACGAGCTTCCCATGCTGGCCTCCAGCGCTAGGAACTGCCGTAGTGTCAGTGTGGGCGACAGGTCCAGAATTACTTCTGGTGTGCAGGAGAAGTCTGGACACTTCAGCGCCCAGAACCACACTTCTAGACTGCAGAGAGGGTAAAAGCAGCAACCCTGGCAGGAATAACCTCTAGCTGAATCACCACTCCCGGCCCATGGTTTCGTTACTCCACATCTACTGCGAGAACTGTGATAAGTTTACCTTTATTTGCAGCGTGGCCTTCTGTAACTCGATACATTCAAGAGTCAAATTCCTTCATACCACAGTGTTCACACAGAAAAAAATAGTAAGTTTTTAGTAGTATATTCCTTTTTCTACCTGCAACTACACATCAGGCTCTCCAGCTGTCTCTGATCACCAGCATTACCACCAACCTAAATGCACTTTTCTGAAGTGGCCATTTCAACGGTTCAATTCAACCGACTGAAGGTAAAAAGTCCTAACAACGCGTTTGATTAAAGTACTTACCCATCTGTTATTTCCCAGAATCTTTTGGGACAAGCATAACGCAGCAGCTGCAATCTCCGAAGGCCGATGGTGGACCATGTCATAGTCTATCAGCGTCAGCTCCATTAAGTATTTTGCTAGCGTGTGTTGCTTAGCATCAGCCTACCAGATTGAGAATTTTTAATCCACAGTTTCACTTCACCTTAGCAAATAATTCAGGATTGTTTATTGTATTCACAGTCAAGATCTTTATTAAGGTCTAGGGGCCATACCCTCCAACAGGCACTCATCTCAAAATGGAGACCAGAGTCCAAACTAGTCTAGTCCAGCAGCCACTGGGAATTTAGACAAAGTGAAGGATTTTAACAGAAAACTGCAGTATCAGGCACTGCTGTGCCCAACTAGGGATATGAGTGCTCCCTCTGTAAGACACTGCGGGGGAAGAAGTGTACAGTTACTTGCATAGATCCTTACCGAAGCAGCGAGCTACCTTCAGTAGTGACCTAACGGTGTGCTGAGGTAACTGAAGCCCACTTTGTGTGTGGGCAGTTCACTCAAGTGAAACTACTGGGGTGGGGAAAAAGGGTCAGGTCAAAGAGAATGCTTATCTTTTGATTCTTACATAATACAGGATTTGCATCCAAAATTTATGAAGAACTGCAACACTGCTCCCCTTTTACCAGGAAATACCCCGATCACCAGACAAAAGATTACTCTAAAAGCAAGGGTTCTGCTCTAGGTACATTTACTCTAACAGTAAAATCACTGCTGCTAAGACTGAACAGAGGCCCCAGTAAGCACAAATGTGAACCACTACTGGCTGCCACAGTGATGTTGTTATGTTACTCCACATGGTGGAGTTTCATGGCTGAGTATTTCTTGATCCAGCGTGTAAGCAGAAAGCAACGAAGTTCATCACGATAAAAATGTCTGAAACAATCCTGATAGACTTTACACATACAGGAAAGTTCTAGATAATGTGGACAAGCACCCACCTCCCCGGCTTTTGATGCTCTTCTTAAGAAGTGAATTGGAAGAGGTCGTCCTAAATTGAAGTTTAATTCTTTAAGAATTGTAATCTCCATTTCTCTAACTTCGTCACTGGTGTAGGCATTGTCAGTAATGTAAACAAAGTCTCCAACATCAGGAGAGAGCATCTCTTCGTATTTTGAGGCTAGAAGCAGTGCTGTTACACCCACCAGTTGAAGGCTCTCACGAGGTACTGGATGACTCTGCAATACAGGAATTTACAAAGCAGGGCCCAAAATGTCAAGCTCTAGATAAACAGATTCTAATTCACCAGTTTAAAATACTAGTATGACAGTGCTCATTCTTATAACATAAAGGAGACTTTCCACTTTGAGCCTGTCATTACAGGGACACTTCTGACTGAAAGCAGACCGCAGCCTCAGAGTTAAGAGGCTACGTTATACAGAACTCTTTCTTACACAAAGAGCAGATTTTGTAGATTCTTAAATTTATAAAGAAAGGATAAATCCTAAACTCCTTTAAAAGCATAGTCATAGGAACAAGTCTCCTCATCCAAACACGAGTTGAAAGATTTCTTTCTTACTTGTAAGAAGCGATCCATAATTGCAACACACATATACAGTGTTTCCTGCAAAAGCTGGAACCTTGAGTGGACCTCGACAAGCCAGTCCACTAAAATCGCACGCATACGCCCATTGATCGTCTTCCCGTCCAGGTAACGCGGTCGAACCGACTGCTGCAGCTGTTGGAGAAAGAGCCACGTGAGCAACAAGAGTAACACAATACTGCAGAAGCCCAGACTCAGTATGTCGTACCTCAAGCTCTCTCAGATACTCATAGATATCTTTTACGTAGTCACTACACAGCTGGGGATTCTCCCAGTCCTCAGCATCAATGTCTTCTACATTGCCGAGCAACACATCAGAGAAGGCTTGGCACAAATCCTCCTCTTGCATAGATACATCCATGGGGACAGGAGACAGAACCTGAGAAACAGATCACAATGCTTACACAACTGATGTTTGAGCTGCAGTGTTTCTGCATTTCCACATTTTTCCAGTTACTAGCACAATTTCTTAAGATAAAAGAAACTCAGCTTGCATTCTAGCGCGGCAAGCTTTCACCAAGATGCTGTACAGACAGAATCAGAAGACTTTCTAGTAACTGCCAGCTAAAGCAGAAACATCATCTAGTACCTCAACAGCTACTTCTGCCACCTCAGTGTCAGCCTTCCAGCACAACATGCGTTAAACCAAAACTTCGGTACAGAGGCTTGGCTTTTTGTCCAGGGAAATGAGATACATACATCTACAGGTAAACTGTTCTGAAGTTAGAGCTCCACGTTGCAAATCAAATTAAGAACCAGAACAGTATCATTACTATCATTACCTTTGAAGCAGTCGTTTCTTTGACAGCTTGATTCACAGCAGCTGGAGGTTTAGGTGCTGCAGTTACCTTCGTCATCTTACTAGGTCCTTTCGCAGGCTTTGTGGGTGCTTTGGAGCATTCTGTTTTCTGTAGTGAGAACAATTACTACTAGTACAGAGCCAGTAATCCTTCTTTCCCTTACAGCTACATTTCAAGTGTTCCTTTACCTTAGCTATACGTGTTCCTCTCGTTGCGACTTTATTTCCTATTTCTTCTAAAGCAGCCCTTTTGCCAGCAAGGTGAGCTTTGGCTTTATGTTCGGTCGCAGCATTCTCCATCCCTCTAGTGACCTAAAACAGTAAAATCGCAGCTTCAGAGTCAGAGACCGGCTTTATTTCCCTTTCAGATGCCCGACCACGCACGCCGTGTCGGCGCACCTCTGCGCAGCGCATCGCCCAGCTTCCCCCGCGCAGGGGCCTCAGG